AAACTAAGATGTTACCTAGCTACTCGCAGAAAAAGTGGTATCCGTTCATTTATTCAGAATTCAAAAAATTATACTGAAGCTTCTATGGAACATGTAAATCCTTTAACCCCTGATCCACCTAAAAATGCAACTCTAGAATTTTCGATTGCTAATGATTTTATCATTAAAGGTGACTTATATTATTCTTATAGATTACTTAATTTAAAATATATCACATTAATACATTTTATTATTTAGGAACTGATGATTTTGATAAAAATGAAATAGCTACAAGACATTTTGACTATTGTGAAGGCGATATTAATACCTTACATTCATGAACCATGTATGATATTGTGGAACTAGGTTTATCGCCTACTCGTTTATTAGAAGATGGCATCATGAACAATCAAAGTAAATACTATACATATTCATAAATCTGGAGGACTAGCTCCCTTTAAAAAAGAATATATTATAATTTAATAACTCCGACAGTTTGGTAAATAGAATATATTATTTAACATAATATTGTATCCCATTCAATTATTTTTCCAATTCGAGCACAAGTTTCGTCTTAATAATCATAACATACAAAAAAAAATTATATTTTTACTGCACAACATTTTTATGATTTAACTATAATGAATGAATAAATAACTATTATAATTATAATTTATGCTTTTTTGAAATACCAAACCACTACTATAAATAGAATGATAGATTTGTAGTCCATATCATAATACGTAGTATTTTATTCATCGGTACAATAATACGGGAATTTTATAGAGACATAGATCTTGAATATAATTCTGACATTCCATCTACTAGTTCAAGCATTATAAATGGAGATGTTGATATAATGCCGCCTATGCATAATGCATCTCATTTTACATCGCGGCAATGTTTTTGTAGAAATGATTGAAGCATTTAAAAGTATTGATAAACAAAAATGTTCAAACTTAATGGTTGAACTTATTCTTCCAAATGGTGAGTCTGAAAAAGGCTTAGATTCAGGTGGTGTTTTTCGGGATACAATTTCGGAATTTTGGACCACTGTGTCGTCGGCTTAGTTCGTAAATCTCGTAACTCCAAAATTACGATTTTGAGATTATTATATTTTTCTTTTTAGAAAACTACTCTCACTTTGATAAGACAGTTTCTCTTCCATGAACTTGATATTAAAGTTTCGACGAAATTAACTTAACTCCATGAAATCTAATGATGCGGACCTGTGGGGTGCCACGTGGATGGTGGGTGGAGGTAACCAAAAACAAAAAAAAGTAAAAGAAAAGAAAAAAACACAGAAACTGAAGTAGTTCGTTTTTTATTTGATTATATATTATCTTTCAATTATTAACTGAGAAACGGTATCGGTGTCGACATAAAACTCGCGGGGACATGTGAGAGGTCCGTGTTTGGGTCGTTGAGAAAAACAAGTGACTTCGACAAGCCGGTTCACCGAACGGCGCAGGTGTCGCGCACAGGCGTCGTCGATTGGCGGTTTGTTTGAGAAGCCACAGCGCGGCTTCCGCGTAAAGGCTGTTTGAATTCAAACTGCCATTACGCGGGATCGCGTCACTCCTACCAAGAGAAATTGTCGTATCTCCATAACGACCATAACTGCATGTATGTATAGCTTGTGGTAAAATATTATTTTTAATAATAACGTTACAATTATAATATTATTTTTTTTTCCTTCGCTATTAAATTAATTATAATGTCGTCTAGATCAAGAACCAAAAAACTTTTAAGTTTAGTTTTAAATAATTAGGTGCTATAGGTACCTATAGAATAATTTAATATTGAGAATAAATGTACCTATAATATTAAATTAGCAATACTATTTTTGTAACAAACCCAATGTTTTTAGGTACTGAATATGTTGTTGACCCGGTAGTTAATGATAATGATGAAGTTGTAACACTTACTAATGCTGAATTAGGAATAAATATTGAAGGATTAGTCAAAGGTTTGCTTAACTCACCTTATGGTTCAGAAAAAGAAGAAAGTTTAAATGCCAGCAACGCTGAAGATTTGTTAAACACTACCTATGATGTAAATGTGCAAGAGTCAGATACTGTTGAGGAAGAGTCGTTTGTGAGAAAAAGAAAAAAAGGTGGAAAACCACAAGATTGAAGCAAAAATGTTCAACAAATTAAAAGGTTAGAAGGAAATGAATATTTTGGTCGAAAAAAAATTGGTGGTGTGTGGAGATATGATATACAAAAATCTGCTAGATCATTAAAAAGCCCTTGCAATTGTATTCTTCAAACAAAAACAAATCGTGTACTTAATTGAAAAGAAGTTTCGGAAACTGAAAGAAAAAATATTTTCAAATCTTTTTCGGCTCTTAGTAATGAAGAATCTAGAATACAATTTTTGAAAAATAAACTGAAGATACTCCCAACAGCAAGAAAAAGAGGTTTATGTTCAACAAAAAGAAAATCATCAGTACAATATTATTTGTGTAACATAAGAGTTTGTAAACAAATGTTTCTAAATAATTTTGACATTGGTGAAACCATGATAAAAAAAATAATTAATAATAACCATTCAGAATTAGAATTATCAAATTGGGATAATATTGAAGACAACAATAATTTAGAATCAATTCCTATAAACACTGCACACCAAAGTATTTCTGATAAAAAAATGTTATTAAACATATTTTTTGAATTATTACCTAAGTTAGAAAGTCATTACTGCAGAGCAAGTACTTCTAAACTATAATATTTAGAGCCAGTTTGGCTCACAAAAATGGCCTTGAACAATGTTTATTCTAATGATTTCTGTGTGTCACATAATATCTCTCCAGTGAGTATTGCAATGTTTTACCTAACATCAGAAGAAAAAAATATTTCTTTATTAAAACCCAAAAAAGATGCATGTGATATATGTACAGCATATGAAACTGGAAATTTATCTATTGAACAAAAAGAGTTACATGACCAAATTAAATTTGAAGCTCGTCAAGAAAAATAAACTGACAATTAATCAGAAAATGAAGTTTTAACAATGGATATGCAATTTGTATTACTTTGTCCTAAATCAAATATGTCATCGCAATATTACAAAACTAAACTTATTGTCCATAATATTTCACATTGTATGACCTTAAAAGGAAACAGGGTTACTGTTTTTTGTGGAATGAGACAGAAGGTGGATTAACAGCAAATTAATTGAGTTCAATAATTGTATATTCCCTACAACAATTTGTTATTGACACTGCAAAAGTACATAATGTCAATATCATATTGTACAGTGATGGTTGTACATACCAAAATCGAAATTCAACTTTGTCTAATGCTCTACTTAATCTGTCGTTACTATCAGGCATTACAATCATTCAAAAATATTAGCTGAGTACAGATAAAAATAAAAATAATAACTAAATTTAATAACTAGTAAGAATAATACTATAAAAATTATTATACCTTCCTATTAATTAAAAGTATAATTTGTTAACTATTATAACTTTAATCCAACAAGTATGTATATACTTATTAATATTGTTATGTGATTTTAAAAGACATCTACACACAAAAGAGCATTTTAATATTAATATTACATTTTGTTAGTTTTATATTGTCAATATTTATATTAATTATGAAGACTGATAAATAATAGGTATTTCAAAACTAATTATGTGTAAACCAAAAAGTATGTAGGTACCTATTTACTATTATTTTTGTTATAATTTTGTTATGTGGTTTCTAAGAGATAAAATAAATAACCATGTTTAATGTTTATTCATTACTATAATATATATTTTCATGTATCTAAATTAGATATTACAGAATATTTAACCTGGTTCAAATTTGGTCTTAAATTTCTCTGATGTATTAGTTATTGATGCAAATTAAGGAGTGTTTCCTTTTAGGTATTATAAAATACAATAATTTTTAAACTATCAGTTGACCTGACTGATTATAATATTATAGATCTGTATGTTTAAACTATATTTATTATTTAGTAATATCTTTTTTAATGGTTCTTTATTGTTTTTACAGTACATAGGTAAGGACGTAAGTTTATATTTTGTAGGTATTGTAGAAATAATATTGACATCAAATCTCGCATGTGTAAAGGAAAATAATATACACAATCATTAATTTCCTATGTATGTCAACAACAAATTTCTTATGTAATGTTTTAGAATAAAATATCGTTATCAAAACCTCATAGTATGTGAAATAACAATACACTTAGGTAATATCCTTTTTGAATAAAACAATGTAGGCACTTAATAATGAAAAGGGTCCGATTTGATTTCTAAACATAAATATTTTTCAAAATTTGAAAACTTGGTGACAACCATTTGGTGAGTACCTAAACAAATAAACTAAATAAATTATTATATCTATCGAGTTTTCGAAGAAATAATTTAAAAGAAAATTTTTACATTGACAATTTATATTTATTAATTGTGATGTACAATAGTTTAAATTTTATATATACTTTATACATATCATTTACATTTTTTACATTTTACATTTACAGATGTGGAATATTTTACAATTTTATAATAGATAATTATAGATATAACAACAAATATACTCTATTCGCCGAGAGTTGACAAACTTGCGCACAAGCATACTGAGCTCCCAGCCTATTCTTGAAAGTAGTAGAACGATATTCGTATACAAACCATTCTACTGGTAGATATTCTACTACTAACTCAAAACCGTATTCTTGAACGCCAAGAGTGCGTTCAGAAACGTTTTCTATGTAGAATTAACTTTTTCGCCGGGGAACGATGTGACTCCTCCCATTTCATTGAACCATTCAGTTATCAATAAGGTTACCGAGGTATGTTAACCTCATAGTAGAAGAACCATGTTTATAATACTTTTAAAATAAAAGTGATAAAGTGATAATATAATCATTAATCATAATATTTATAAATTGTATACTATTTATAGGTTTATTTCAAAATAAAATTATTAATTTTTTATTAATGTTAATTTTTTTTGGTGTACACCATTTAAACATTTGTTATTTGTAATTGAAATTATTTTATTATGAGTAACCATCCCAGAGTTCTAGCTATAGCGGCAAGTAATTCGTTTAAATTACTTTTAGACTGTGGACTATATTTTTTTGATGATGAAGAAGATGGTAATGACGAGGATTTAACCTGTGATAAAGAGGTTCCAATCAGGATCAAAAACTACATCGAAAAGGTTGTTGTTCATTATTCAGATAATGTATTTCAAAGCCATTTTAGGTAAATAAAAGGTTTATTTTAAATGTACCTATATAATATTATGCATTCCGGTAAATTGCAAAAATGAGATAAATATATATTTCTTTATACACATTTTAGATTATCCAGATCGGTGTTTTATAATACTCAATACCCATGATAGAAATAAGTCAAAACAACACAACCGATAGAGCAAAAAAAACAGGAAGACCAGAAATTCCCATTGAAAAACAGTTATTGTCTGTCCTTTGGATACTTGCCACTCCAGATTCGTATAGGTAAATAGTTAATACAATAATACTTACCTTAAAGTTTCATAGATTCATAGATGATAATGAAAAGCATAACATTTATAAAAAACCACAGAACATTATTTAAAATATATTTATAATAATAGTAGGTACCTGCCTATAAACTATTTTATTTTCTGTTTTGTTTTATTTTTTGAATTTTATGAAATTCAATTTTACATTTAACTATGTGTAATTTTATTTGTTTGTAAGTTAGTACAAACCATTAAACAATTTCTCATAAAATACACATGTAGTACAGATAAACTTATTAAAAATGATATATTGGTAATACATTTATGGTAACTAGTAAGTGTGAAGTAACTTAACTTTTTAATATATTAATACTTAAACTAGTTATTTTTTCACTAAAGTATTTATTTGAGCATATTCATACCTATATTGGCTATATACTCAAGAAAAATATTGGCCATAAATGTGCCACTCTAATTATTTAATCCTAGCTACGTACCTGTTTTACAATCAGTTTGTATTAACCACCATGTTTAGTACTTCTATAATATTGTCAATAAAATGCCATTGTTTCATATTTATGAAACAATGTAATTCATCACCTAACCACCATTTTGTGGATTTTATTTTTACTCAATAAATAATTAATCGATCATCATGCTAGGTACTTAATAAAGCTATTTAGTTTTACTTATTTCAGAAATGTACCTTGCGTTCAATAGTCAATGCACTTTGCCTTGATGGATCCTTTATGAAAGGCCTAACCATGTCAATAACAGTTTGACATAGCTCTTTTGATAGTCAGTACATGCCTATGAACTGTCCATCAGATAAATCTAAAAACAGTGAATCAAAATCAAATATTAAAGTATATGTCATATGTAACCTATCCAGTGCTCGAATTGGGGGGGGACGCAGGGGGACGGAGCTCCCCTTCAAATTTTAATTTTTTTAGCGTACCCCTTCTTATGTTTTTAATTTGAACGGGGGGACGGTACGTCTCCCGTGTAAATTATTATTGAAAAACTTATAAAACGTTTATTTATAGATATTTATTATGTATTATCAATTTGAACAAAATATGCGATAAATTGTAAATTTCATTAATGATAAAAATCAAAATATATAAGATAATTTATTATTATAATCACGGACCACAGACTATAAATCTTAGTCCGTGATTATAATACAGGCTTACATATACTGATATACTAATAATGTGTATAAATAATGTATATTATATCGAGATTAAAATTAAAAATTCATGTTATCGGATGGTCGGTAAGACGGTAACACTGTAAACAGTACCTATGTAGTTCATAATATCTATATCGACTATATCTAATAATAATTATAGCATTATTGTTATGCTCATGAGTTGAGGTCGGTTTTTATCGATTATTGTTTAATTATAACATTTCTTTTTGTACCCTACTGCAGTACTAGAATTCTATTATTAGAAGACTAGAATATTCTTGTATTCATGATAAAATCTATGACTGCACTGCCATCCACAAGATAATAAACGTTGGTTAATTTATGACATGTGTTTAATAAATTATTGTACTTACTATAGTATACTGTATACTGTATACCTACTAGTAACTAATAAGTAAAAAGTAAAAATGGCTTCTAAACCAAAAAAGCTTTGTAAATCCGGAATTTACTCTTATTTTAAAGTAAGTACCAAATTAATTGGCTAAACTAAAACTTTATCATTATTTATATTTCATGAAAATGTATTACTATATTTTTAAATTGTAGAAAAGCAATGAAAAACAAAAAGAAGAAAACACAAATGTTGAATCCCTTGATGATGATCTTGGGACAAATGAAAATACCAACATTCAGGTATTATCGATTACAAATTTTCTCATAATTTGATTTTTATATTTCTATAACTTGTTAAAGATTAATTAATATTTTTTATACCACTAATAAGAGTCAAACGGCATGACACATTTTATTAAGATAAAATGTCAATCCGGTATTTAAATATAAAATATTTTTGCTATTGCTATTTTTATTTGCTTACTTTGTAATTAAAATAATAAAATGAGCATCATGTGACAATTATAAGGCTTTTGCATTTTTTTTATAAATGTATAATATTAAGAGTTTTCAATTTAATATTTCTTTTTTTTTCATTTTAGGTTGAAGTTGATTCAGTTAAAAGAAAAATATCAAAAGAAAATGAATCAAATAATATAGCTATTTCTGAAGAGGATCATCAAGTTTGTAAAGTTAGACTTTGTACATATTTCAATTATTATATACGTACAGTTATTATTAGTTATTTAAAAAAAATGTATGACCAATTTACTAATTTTGTAAATAAGCAGCATAACTGAGTGAAATGGTCACTCATTGAAATTGCACCTTAGGTATAATTGCACCCCTGGCAAATGCCTTGTTGCCAGCACCTAGCTATGTCTCTGATTCTGTTTAAAAATTTTAAACAAGTCAATAAAAATAATTACACATTATTAAATAAATATGAGTAGGTACTTATTATAATTTAAATGTTTAAATTAACATTATGTGGACCTTTTTTCTAGTTGTATAATTGCATAATATTTGTTGTTATTTACAGGAATTTGAACCAGATTTAATGTTGACTTCTTTTAGAGAAAAACCAGAATGTTGGGATGACAAACAATTAAAATATTTCACAGATGAGTACCCTTGGCTTTATTTTAAAGAGACTAAATTAGGTTGTCTTATTTGTAAAAGAGTAAATTTTAATTTAACAACATGTCATGGGGCACATTCTTCTAAAGAATAGATAAATGGTGAGGTGGGCGCTGTAGGAACCGATGATAGTAAAATGAAAGCCAATTTAAGAAAAAAAATATGTAAGCATAAAAACTCACAAGCTCATTTAAAAGCCCAACAAATTATTGATAAGGGTTCATGTGAAGTTTTACCTGGACAATTTTCCAAACTTTCAAGTTTAGAACATGAAACTACTAGAAAAGTTTTCAGAACTGCTTACTTTATAGCAAAAAATCAACGACCATACACAGATTTGCCTAAACTTGTGGATTTACAAACCGTTAACAGTCTAAATATGGGTTCTAAATATGAATTCTTCATACTGATAAATCTTGTAACAGTATAATTGAACATATTTCAGTAGAAATTAGGATTAAGATTTGCAATGATATCATTAAAAATCAAAGAAAATTTTGCATTATTGTCGATGAATCCACAACATTAAGTCAAAAAACAATGTTGGTTATTTGCCTAAGAACTGTAGTTGGACCAAATAATGAAGTCATAACTTTTTTTTTTGATATCATTGAACTAACAAACACATCTGCCGATTCAATCGAAAACGCTATACTAACAAATCTTTCATCTCATGGATTCAACAATAATTTTCTATAGTTAAATCTCATTGCATTTGTGAGTGATGGTGAGTCATCAATGTTGGGTCGAATTGCTGGTGTTGGAGCTCAATTAAAAAAAATGTACCCGAATATAGTTATTTGGCATTTTTGTAATCATAGGTTAGAACTTGCTGTATGTGATACCTTAAAAGAAGTTAGTGGTATTAATAATTTTCAACTGTTCATTGAAAAATTGTATGCTCTGTATCACCAATCGCCAAAAAACATGAATGAGCTTCATATGTGTGCTGTATCTTTGGAACATAACTTACAACGTATCGGGAAAATTTTTACAATACGATGGGTTGCATCAAGTGAAAGGACAATAAAAGCTGTATGGAACAACTTTCCAGCACTATACCAACACTTCACAACTGCTGCCAATGATGGTTTAAGAACTTCAAAAGAAAAGTCAAAATACTTGGGACTTAAAAGACATTTGGCGTCAATAGAATTTGTCACCAATCTTGGTAAGTAAATTTTTTATTTTGGATTTAAATTGAATTAATTATAATCTAAACATGTAATTTAGTTAGATTTTTTTCTGTTATGTTATAGGTATAATGTATGACGCCTTATGTGAATTAGCTGACTTGTCTACATCACTCCAAAATAGAAGTCATACATTGACTCAAGCAAATTGTTGTATTCAACGTATAATAATGGTTTTCGACTCAATGGCAGAAAATTATGGTCCTAAAACAAAAGAAGCTATTGATTCATGTGAAGAACAATTATTTAAAGGCATTCCACTCATTACTAACAAAGCTATACCAAAGATAAATCCATTGCAGTTTTTTAGAAGTCTATCTAATAACTTACGAAGTAGATTGTTCACAACACAATCATCAAACGTATCTATGCAAGGTAATGAGTTTAAAAATATATACACTCAATTACTTAATGACTTAGATGTATTGGACCCAAAACATTGGCCAGATCAATTTGATATACAGTATGGCGACTCTGCAGTAAGAAGATTAGCCAATGTGTTTCAAGTTGATGAAAGATCTGCGATAAATGGATTTCGGGAGTTTAAAGATCTCAAGGATAGTTCAACAGTTTTAGATTTAAGACCATTATTAACTGCAATTAAAACTGTAGCAATATCATCCAGTGAATGCGAAAGAGCTTTCAGTTCAATGAACAATATAGTTACTACTAAAAGAAATGCTTTGAACCCGACAAGTATTTCTTCTCTCATGTTGATTAATTGTGTAGGGGGGGGCCACCAGTGCACATGTTTGTACCTGAGCCTTATGTTGTATCATGGATACAGAGAGGCAAACGATGTGCTGCCCTAAACGACAAAATAATGAAGAGAAACATTCATATGCAGAGCTATGGAATATATTAAAAATGTAAATAATGTATAAAATATCTTACAATAAAATAAAAGATTTGTTTGTAATTTAATAATATTTGTTCATTGTTGTAGTGTAACCTTTGTTTAATTTTAATGATTGTTTGATTTGTGTTGAAAATACTACATGGGGGGTGTGGGGGGCGAAGCCCCCCACGGGTTAGTTTGGTTTAAATCATTGAGTGGAACGCTACATTTGTATAAGTCCTTTAGCACCCCTTCTATTATATTTCCAATTCGAGCACTGAACCTATCTACTTTTGATATTATTTTAATTAATATCTTTATTTAATGTATGAAATGTGACTCACGTTGAAAGACTCACTAACCTTCACGAGAATTTCGTATAATCTCAGCATCCATTTCAATTATCTCCAAATTTTCCACGGCTTGAAGATATCCAAATAAATCCAAGTCATCCATATTGAATAAATTTAGCAAAAACACTTGAAGCAAGCAACACAGAGTAGCACAACAAAATTCGACAATTAATTAAGCATTTCTGTTTTAGTAGGTACTTCTCGAAATATTTTTGTTATTAATTAAATAATCCTTAAGTCATAACATAATATGATATGCAGTGCATACTATAGATATAATCAACTAGTTTTTAATATATATTATCATAACTTTCAAAACATAATTAAGTTAGAAATAAATTAATATCGTAATGTGTTTGATGCATATTGTATATAAATAATTATAATAATAAATAAAAGGTGATTAATATATTTTAATAAACGTTATTATTAAATATTAAGGGATACATACTAATATATTATATATATAATTATATAGGTAAATACCTAACTATTATTTGGTCATAATAAGTAGTAGATACTTAATATTGGAATGCACCACAATAAATTATAGTTATTTCAGTTATATATTATACAGGATGATCATTTTATCATGAACTACTCACTATATAAAAAACTATTAACTTTTAATGTTTTTGAAAATATTATTTTATATAATTATATAGCTTGTGTATGTTGTTACAAAATAATCTTTTTTAAAAAATTATATTTTTTACCATTTTTTATCGTAGATTTTTATTTACTTGAACGAAACACATTCAAATATAATGTCAGCCAATGACAAAGCCGAGTCTTGATTTTAATAAAAAAATATATATTAATATTATATTCTGAAGCAGGAATATCTTTTGGAGTATTTCAATACTTACATAAAAATCAAATTTAGAGTGGGAGTGGCACAAGTACCTCGTAGAATGTTTATCTATTACTCCACTTATACTCTATACTTTAACATAATATATGTATATTTTACATAGGTCGGATAGGTTCATAATGTTGTTTAACTTTATAATGATCATAGGTATTAGAAAAAAATGTGTGAAATATAATATATAATACATTAATATTGGTATAAATAATAATATAATTAAAAAGTGTATTAGCTTAGGTACTAGGTTCATATAAATGCGTAATTAAATCGGGCGCCATTACAGCGTAAATGATTATTCGTATACGAGTAATAGGATTCTACTACGATACCACCACACGACCCGTTCGTAGTAGAATCCGGTAGTAGAATAGAATCCGTTCGTATACGACCGGCGTTCAAGAATACGGTTTTGTCAAAGTAGTAGAAAAAGTGCAAATATTCGTATACGACTATTGTTCTACTACTTTCAAGAATAGGCCCCCAGTGAGCGGATGGAACATTCAGACCCCCCGAGTAGAAGACCAGCTGTCTGTGATTGGTCGGCGATATTCGGCCATCGGCAGCGCTCATCATAGTAGGCAGCTGGCGACGATCACCACTAGCGCTCCAAAGACGCGGTGACCTCGACCTGCGTAGCCGAGATCGGTTTTCGTTGAGCGAGTGGGTCAACTCTCGGCGAATAGAGTATAGTTTACAAGTTAGGTATTTAAGAAATATGGGTATACATGGGTATTTAAATATGCAAGTTAAGACGTTTTACATGTGTGGTTCTACAGTGGAAGTAAGTTCTGTAAGTTTTACGATTCGTTTTCACTTCCAGCGATCACTTCCGGAGCACCGGAACCAGTTCGACACAGCGGTGTGGGCGGGTATGAAAACATGGAAGTGGCGGCGGGCCGTTCACGTTAAACCAGGCCGGGCCCACGTAATACTCCTGTGGTGGCGGTGCCGGAAATCTGAAACCCGCAGCCACGACGCAATCCAAGCTCGGGGGCTGTATCTGTCGCGGCACGTACATGACACACTTTCAGTTCCGGCGATGGTGGCGGAAAACCAAAGCGAGCAGCTGCCACGCTTTCCGGACTGGAAGTCGGTGGCTGCCATGTCATGTACGCGGATGGGCCCAAGTTGCTTACCGGGAAGAGAGGCGGTAGCAGAGACGTGATCCACGGGAAATCCACTTGCGTGGACGCGTCCTTCCCGACGGATCTGCCCGGGGCCTCCGAAGTCCGGACCTGGGGCAGTGTTGCCAGAATTATTGATAAGGAAATCGCCAATTTACTTTTCCAATAACGCCATCTACCGCCAAAATTAAGCTTTAAAAATTATCGCCATCTATCGCCAAAATTTCAAAAAAAAATTTTTTTCGACGTCACTTTATTGGATTTGGCCAACACCATTTGGCATTTTTGTCAGTTTGTTACTTTATTAATAAAGATAAAATTATAACTATTTAAACGGAACCAAACTAAACAAATTATGATTGAAAAAAAAACAAAACTTTATTAATAAAATGATAACAGTATAAACAGTATAAATTATAAGTTCTTTTGCCCAATGTATACATGTTTTATAAAACAACATCTTATATTTTATATTATAACAAAAAAGTAAATACAAATTATTATTTAGCAGTTTTAATAGTATTGATACAGCATTATAGTTATAAGTCATAACACATAATAACATTATATTTTATAAACTTAACATTCAAAAAAAAAAAATTATAAGTCCTTTCGACCAATGTATACATTTTTTATAAAACAACATCTTATATTTTATATTATAACAAAAAAGTAAATACAAATTATTATTTAGCAGTTTTAATAGTATTGATACATATAGCATTATAGTTATAACACAAGTTTAATAAAAATCAGGTAAACTTATTTCGTTTACTATATTAATTAATTCATCGTTAAAATCATTGTCTAATGATTCAACATTATTAATTATAGTGTTCACATCATTTTTTTTGTTATACATTTCTGAATTAAACTTGTCATACATTGATTTAGGTGGTACAAATTCTGTACAACATGTTTTCGTAGAAATAAATGTAGTTTTTATTCTTAATAAAGCATCCAACATATTTGCATTTATACGATTTCTGGATTTTGTTTTTACTGTATTCATTATAGAGAATACTCGCTCCACCACAGCATTGCTTGAAGGCAATGAGAGACCTTTTAGAACGAATTCTGACAATTCCCTAAATGCAAAATTACCACCCGCATCTTTGTAATTGTAAACTTTTGGCCAAAATAAGTTGGCATCGTTTAACTGTTTTTCATTTAAGTACATTTTCCAAGTTACTGTTGTTAATTTTTCCCATTGTGTTTCTATCAATACAATCTCTGAAGGTTTTAAAAATAAATTAACAAAAGGTAAATCAATAAAATTTACGTGCAATTGGCATAAACACAAAGTGGGCGAAAATAATTTCATTTTCTTGAAAAATTCAATGTTGTCGGGCAATCTCTTTTTTATTTCATACAGTAATTGTTTAATAAAATTAAAAGCTTGTGTCTGTACATTAGACTTCTTTTCTTGAGATAAATTTATATTAATTATTGACTGGTTATACCCCACTCCATAATCACAATTGCTCGAATGTCGGTATACAGAATCATTATTAATATTGTTATATATATATTCAAATCCTTTTGACACTACAGATTCTTTTATAATTTTCTTTGCCGAAAATATAAATAAACAACAAATATCATCATAGGACCTTCCAAGATCCACAAAATTCTTTTGAAAAGTTAAATTTAAGGAATTTAATTCTTGTAAAATGGGTTTTATGATGATAAGATAAAGGTAATTAGTGTCATCATGTAGCATTTCATGTATAATTCGTGAAGCGTAACATTTTTCCTTTTTCACCATAAGAGAAAAATGAGTTTTAAGCTCTAGCCAGTGTTCTAGAATGGTGTTAACGACAAAACTGCGTGCTAGCCACCGTGTGCCAGATATCTGGTGAAAATTATGGAACTTTTTATTCAAGCCAGAGTTAAGAAGATCAAACATTTGTTTATACTCATCCCTTCTTTTTGGACTTATATGGAACCAGTTATACACTTCTCTGCAAAGGTAATCAATAGTACTAGGAAAGCTTTCTGATGCTTTTGAAACTGCATTGTTCAAAGAATGACAAATACATCTTACGATTTGCAAGTTTGGACTTTTTTGTTTTAAATTGGTAAAAAGAGAATGATATTTTCCGCATAAGTTGTTTGCACCATCAGTACCTATGCCAATCAACTTTGATAAATTTAAACCTATCACCTGCATGTAATTACATATACAGTCATACAGTGAATCAGCTGAACAATTCACAACTTCTATAATGCCTAAATATTTAATAATTATAGATTCAGTTTTAGAGCTAAAATATTTAATACATAGGCACAAGTATTTGAATACGGAAACATCAGTGGATTCATCGATAATCAATGAGTAATAATTTGTGCCAATATCTTGCACAAGTTCCTCAAGTAAGGTTGGTGCGATTACATTTTGAATCAATGAAGAACATTTAGTTCGATGAAGTTTTAAATTGGCTAATGCAGTACCTTTGCCAAGCACTTTCAATATTTCACCCAAATGATCGACACTCATAATTGAAGTGTGTGTACTTACATAGACAGCTAATTTCAAATCTATAATTTTTTGTTCGTTAGATATTTTAACAATGTTACTTAATACAGACTGATCTTTTTTCATTGGATTCAACTGGACCATGTTATCACTGTGGATTTTTGTTTTTGCATGCCTTTTCAAATCGGTTACATGTGCTCTCAAAAACGAACGGCATACTTTACAATAAGCTTCTGCAACTGTGTTCGCAGTTGAATCAGCTGGTGCTAACCAACCTTAAAAATTAAGAAAATTATACAAATTAATTTTGATCTGGTTATATTGAATCCAGGACGAAAATTCTGGAAACAGTGGAGACAAAAAGTCCATTTTGAGTTTTGACCGATTATATTATGTTTTAAAAATATTAACACATACCTTTAGCCCATAATTCATTTTCCCATGATTTTCTATACTTTCTGAGTTTTTCAATTTTACCCATTTTTCAATCTTCAGGACTAGCGAGTAAAAGCTGACGGCTGCGGGCTGAGTGCTGACACGCTTAAAGTATAAACCTTCAATGGCTTCAATGCGTGATTTTTTTTTTACGTACTTCGTACGTGTATGTGTATGTAGCAGATATGTATATGCAACATATCTTAGACTAGGTTTTCCCTTGATAATCATTGTAATTGTTTAAAAATAACTATTTAAAATGTTGAGAAGGCAACAATAAATCTGATAATATATTTTATAACTTATTTAAACAAAATTAATGTGATAAAAACATGCCTATCATCAATTTTCTGATATTGTGATAAGTATTACCACTATTACCATTGATTATAGTAGTATAGTAGTAAGTCGCCATTAATCTCACACTTCGAATCGAAAATCGCCAACTTTTCCGCCACCCGCCAAAAGTCAAATAATCATTCAAAATCGCCACACCTGGCAACACTGACCTGGGGGTCGATTCTTGAATCTCGTTAGGAAAATTACTCATGACATTTTCCGTACTGTTATGTCGTACGACATCTTAAATGCCTATTCTTGAACTACACACGACATATGATTGTGAAACGAAATTATTTTGTCACACACGAAATATTTTTCACATGAACCAAGTTGGTTACTAACGCTATCATGATTATAATAAATAATAATTGTGATAACACCACCGGTATGGCGGTATTTTGATTAAATGATTGTTATCTATGTATCATAATTCGTAGTTACAAGTATAGTATGGTTACTAAAGTTTTTATAATTCTATACCTAGTTTTATAAGTTTGTAAATATGATGTAAACTTATACTTACTGTTAAACAAAGTTACAACTTACAAGTACAACTAACAAGTTTATAAAGTAGGTACAATAATTTGTTTTTTTAATGGAAGACTCCAAAAAAATATATTGTTCGAAAACACAAAAAGAGATGCTCATCCAACTTCTGACAAAAGATTCACAATTGATTTCTGGGAAGTTTACAAGCACTTTCACGTTTAAAGATGCTAGTAACAGATGGATTGAAATCGCCGACACTTTAAATGCAATTCCCGGCTGTGTCAAAGATTGGAGTCAATGGAAAAGAGTAAGAAATAATTTAAATTACTTCTACATAAATCTAACTATATGAAATAATCTATACCTTATTCTTATTGTTATTTTATCTTAAGACTTGGCAAGATTCACGTAGTAAGGTTAGAAGTAAAAAAGCTATGTTAAACAGACATGTAAATGGTACAGGAGGAGGACCACAAATATCGCAAACACTTACTCCAATCGAGAACCAAATTCTTGATCTTGTTAATCCTATCACAATTGATGGAGATGAGACCATTTCAATGCCGGTTACTAATTTTGAGTATGGTGACATAAGCAGTTAGTGTTTTTAAATTTAAATTGGTCAATTTCTATTCTCTATAACTGCCTACTTAATATGTAGAAAGATAGAAATGATGTAACACTTTTTTTTTAGAATTACCGATACAAATTGAATGTGTAAGTCCGGATGAAGGAATTAGTATGTATACTATACCTACCATGCAGCCTGTTGAGGAAAATAACTGTGCTATAACGCCTATAACCATTGATAGAGTGGAAAAAAAATGTATGTATTAGTTTATTATCAATTTAATTTTTTTGCTTTTTTAAAGAATAATTATATATAAATTATATAGTTTAATTTAAAACTATCTAATATAAATAATATAATATACCAAATAAATAATATAGGCAATAAATAAAAATTTTTTGGTCATACCTATACTCCGGCCCACGAGAGAGTATTACCGTCGCCCGACGAAAACTCTTCCGATTCCGCGCATTCCCCACTACTCGGCATGTGCCGACAACTGTTCGGTACCGGTCGGCAGCGCCCAACGCTATACGTTGTATAGCGGTCGCGGAAATAGTGGGGGAAATGGGGCCTCGGAACGGTCTCCGCCGTCAGTCTGCATGCGCAAAACGGTAATACTCTCTCGTGGGCCGGAGTATAGAAGCTGTTGATGATAGTTTTTAAATTAATTATGTAATACATATTTAATTATTTTTTATTGTTTTATATGTATTAACTTATAATCTATAGAGTGTGGCAACAATGTTTAGGTACTAAGTAGTACTATTAGGTACTATAATTTTACCCAATTAGTTTGATATTTAACTTAATACAATGTAGTGCAATGAGATATAATGTGGTGTATACCTACTGGCATTGATGGTATTTATGACATATTGACATGACATAATAATAATATGTAGTATACTAAAGGTGTTAAATATGATAGTAGTTACATGAAAAATATCAATGAATCATTGAGTCACTAAACTATAGCACAGTGATTCACTTCAATCAGTTGAATCAACTCAATCACAAATTACCCACCTTTAATATTATATAACAATTATTTTCATTTATTTTTATAACAAAGTTTACTATTATTCTTATAGGTGATAAAAAAAAAGTCGAAACATTATCTACTTCAAAACGTTTAACCAATAGTCTAGCTCTTGGTAGAGACATTTGTGAAATTGGAGATCAAAAACTAAAGCTAAAAGAAAAATACTATGAACAAAAAATTGCCCTCTTAGAAAGGCAAACAGTAGCATTAGAAAATATAGCTGCTGCTAAACAAAATAAATTGTAATTTATGCTATACAAATGGTTTAATTTAGTAATTAAGACTAGTTATGATTTTTTAAATTGTATATAATTTAAAATATATAGTTATGATTTTTTTAATTACTACCAGTTTATACTAGTTTGTTTCTATTATTTATGTAAAGGAGGTTCCTAAATAATCAATTTTTTTTTAATATTAATTTTTATTAAGTTTGAATGTTTTTGTTACATGTTTTTTATAAAATTACTTACAAATAGGTAATTATAATATTTTTTTTTTATCTTAATAGTTTTATAATGTTGTTAAACAAACATCTTGCTATATTGTCTCTTATTCTTCTACTTTCAACTAATTCAGGATTCACATTCCTTCTTCGAGTGCCATCTTCAGGATAATCATTATTTATAATTCCTAAATCAATTTCTTCCACATTGTCATCATTCATGTCTGGAACTGGAATTTTAGAAAATATACACATATTGTGTAAAATAACACGGGCATTTACAATTTTCCCTGATTTTTTCGGTGTATAGTGTAATACCCAGTATAAACACCTATAAAATTAACTAGCAATTTAAAAATAACATAAATGTATTACATGCTTTATAAACTTACCTAAACCGAGCCTTTAATACACCATTACACCTCTCAATTATACTTCGTGTTGACATCTGCATTTTGTTGTATTTTTCTTCTTCGTTAGTTGTTGTTTCAGAATATGGTGTTAAAAGCCAAGGTCTTAGGGCGTATCCTGAATCTCCTACATCATATTAGTTTTTTAAATATCAGGTTGATTCCAACACTTCAAATTGAATTTTTTTCTTATGAATAATATTATTTTACCCAGTAAGTATATGCCTTTGTATTCACGTCTATACAATTCCTCTAAGATGTTTTTTATATCTGTAGTTGAATTCCATATATGAGAATCTGCTGTACTGCCAGGAAATTTTGCATTCACACTCAAAATATAAAGTTTAGAATCACAAATCTGTTAAATAAAATACAAGAATTAGGTATTAACTATTAATTAAAATTTAACTAGGTGTGCTAGTAAGTTATTTCAATCAGGCACGTATCCAGAAGGTCCATGGGGTCTTGGCTACATGCCTGACTATTGACTAAATCTTAACACATTTACCAATTGTACATTTAATGAGTGGTAACCTTTTCTGTTTACATAAATATACTCGGGTATTTCTGCATTCTGGTTGTTAGGAGGTACAATTGCAATATGTGTGCAATCAATGCAGCCCACAACTCCTGGAAACGAAGTGTTAATAAAAAATCTAAAAAAAATCAAAAAAAAATCCTAAGATTAGTAGGCAAAACAAATTTTTGATTGAAAATTGTTATTATGGTTTTATATAATAATTTATTTTACTCATTCCTAATTTGCTTGATCTTTTGCATATTATTAGGGAATTTAACCCATTCATTTAATATTCTAGGGTGGTTCAATGCCTCAACCACACAATTGATAGCTCTGGAAACAGTGGGCTGTGATACAGCCACATACCTATTGTTACCAATTGGTGTTTGATAGCATCCCGTTGAGAAAAAGTTTAATGCTAAAAACACCTGTAAAAATATTATGCATAAATAAATAAATTTACCAACTGCAGATGGATCTCCTCAAAAGCCAATAGCTGTGCTAGAGGAGACTTCCATAAGGTAATAATATTGTTAGATAGGTACAAATTTTAACTATATTATACATTTATTCGACAGATCAACTTAATTAAATTAATTAAAATAAACTTACTATAATAAAGTATTAATATAATTTTTTTTAATACAGATTTCTTAAGTTATTTATATTTGAATCATGAGTATAACGGAATTGTATAACTGTATAAGCTTGTATTTAAAACATTGTTGTCCAAAAACTGTTCTCATTTTAGGAACAATGACATTAGACTTGGATAAGGTAAAATAACCACAGATTATATTTAACTTTTAATTATAGGTAATTGTTATTAAATTATTTTATATAATCTGTGGAATAACTATGACTGTTGTTCTATGATTTATAGTTAAATGAGGGGACACCCTAATGAACAATATTTTTTTGTCCGATAGCTAAGTTTTTTTTTTATTTTAAGTGAATAAATTTAGTTTTTTCCATGTTAATTGTTTATGAGCATTTGTCCAGCCAATTTTTAAATGTAGCAAAACTATTCTCTGCCATTTTATATAAATCATTTAGGTTTTGGTTTTTTACTAAAATAACCGTATTGTCTGCAAAGTAGACTAATTTTCCCTGAATACACTGACCGAGAAAGCCATTAATATCAATTATAAATAATAACGGTCCAAGTACTGTACACCCTGTGGTACTGAGTGAGTAATTAATATTAGCTATGTCACTCAAGTGATAATCAATTTCATTTCTTTGTGATCTTCAGTTTAAGTATGAGTTAAATAATTTATGAACATTACCTCAAATACCACATAAGTACAATTTATTTAGTAACATATCACAGTCCACTAATACTGAATCAAATACTTTTTAATGTCATGGAAATGCCAAGTGCTTATCATCAATATTTTCATAAATAAATTTAGTAGTATTATATTATAATTATGCATTGTTAGTGGACATATTGTTCCTAATGTATTAAGTTCCTTTATAATTTATATGTATTTAACTTGGGTGAACATAGTAGGTTTTTTTACATTCAATTAATACCTACATTTATTTACAACTTTTTACTATTAGGTACCTTTTCGGAGAGTTTTATAGATGACGATCTTCTTTCTGGTTCAATGTAAGGTGTAATTAAAGCTATTAGCTATTGAACTAAATCTTTGCTTAATCTATAATTTTTTAAAAATAAACGATCACATTGTATAAATGGGTCATACTTAACTGTAAACCCATGTCTTGGGTTATATGAAGCTTCTTCATCAACCATATTCATAATATATAAAGCTGCAAGATCGTTGAAATTATCCATTTTTAAACATGAACTTCGACAAAATATGTACTAATTAACAATTTGGGTGAAGATAAACGATGATAATAATAAAAGTCGAGTGATATGAAAAAGTCGTGTCACGCATACCCCCACGATATTTTTTCACACAACTTTTTCGTATAATTTTTTCGTATACACATTGAAGAATAGACAAAAACCTATTTCATGTGACAAACGTGATTTGTCGTACACGACAATGCTATAACGAGATTCAAGAATCGACCCCCTGAACGTCGTCCGCCTTTAACACAAGAATAATCACATAAATTATTATAATGACGAAGTCGGTGTGCTACTCGCTTGACCAACCGGGGTGTGCTCCAATATTTGACAGCCCCAAACCAGATCTTGACTTTAGGCCTTCAGCCAAAGCTACTGCTGCTGCTACTGCAGCTTCAGCCTTTTTCACATCATTGGCAGCCCTGGCCGTCTTGCGGCAGGAGTCAGCCACATGGCCGTTTTAGCCACAATTCTCGCAACCTGTTACGTGCTGCCCCTTCAGGGATCCAGAAAGATGATGATTTGAAATAAAATGGTAATCAAATTAGAACAGTAAATACAATGTTGTTTATTAGAACAAAATAAAAGTATAATATCGTCGTTGGTCGGGCAGAATATTGCCAAGTAGTGGACCCAGGTGTCCTTGAGGTGAATGTAACTGTTTCGAAAAGTGGCCATTCTCACAGAGAGTAAAACTGCCGCCTCGTAATAGTCCAATTCCTTTGCACCCCCCAGCCAAAAGAAAGATTAGCCCTTAAAAGGTTAATCTTTGGCATACATTACATCAGTCACGTAATAAATTTAAAAAGTCTTATAATTTAAAAGATATATTCAGTAGACTGGAAGAAACAGGTCTAAAATTAAAAACAAATAAATGCAATTTTTTTAGTTCAAATATTGAATTACTTGGACACTCTGTATCAAACATAGGAATAAAACCATTAGAAAAAAATATTAAAGCGATTACTTCATTTCCAACTCAGAATAAAATAAAAGACGTAAGAGCCTTTATTGGACTCACAAGTTATTATAGGAAATACATTAACAATTTTTCAAAAATAGCAAGCCCTTTGACAAGCTTAACAAAAAAGGATAATACATTTGTTTGGGGAAAAGAACAGGTAGGAAGCTTTTGAAATTTTAAAAAAGGTCATAACCACAGCACTAGTTCTGGCACATTTCGAAGATGGATACCCAGTTTTTGTTACCACTGACGCTTCGCTAGAAGGATGGCCGGTATACTAGAACAAGAAGACAACAAAGGTAAAAGGCACCCTATAGCCTATGCTTCTAGGAAATTAAAAGGATGTGAGAAGAACTATACAACAACAGAATTGGATTTGTCGGCTGTATTATTTGCGACAAACCACTTCAGAGAATATCTTTTAGGAAGAAAAATAACTGTGTTTAGCGATCATTCCAGCTTACTGTATTATCAAACGATGAAAAACCCTTCATCTCGTGTTACAAAATTTATTTTTAAACTCTTAGAATACGATCTTGAAATAAAACATCGCCCAGGCTCATGGAACAAGGCTGCAGATTGTCTCTCGCATTACCCCGTTAATATAACGAAAATTGCTGATATGTTAAACGATGACGACGACAAAGAAACAATACAACCTGAGACACAGAGCATTACAGTCGACAGACGAATATTGTAAAAACATAATTTCATCCTTACCAATAGATACTAAAAATAAATACTATAAAAAATCCAGAAAATATATTATTAATAACAAACTACTATACTTCAAAAATTAGTCACCACATGGCATAAAATATTTATTAGTTATTCCGACTAATTTAGTAAATACTGTCTGAAAGTCCTACCACGAATCCGTTTTTTCAGCACACTTTGGTATTACGAAAACCTTATCAAAATTAAAAGAAAAATATTACTGGCCAACCATTATACAAGATACTTATTCTTTTATAAAAACATGTACATCACGTCAGCTTTCCAAAAAACCTCCAGGTAAAAGCAACGGACTACTGCAACCAATACCTTCAATTTCGGGAAAACCGTTACAATGACTAACATTTGATTATCTAGGTCCATTACCAACATTCAATGGAAAAAAAATACATTATTGCAGCAACCTGCAACGCAACAAAAATGGCCTTTGCGAAAGCAGTTACAAATGCAAACGGAGCAGCCACAATAAATTTCCTTATGGAACTAATAACATCCTACGGAGTTCCTAAATATTTTTGTAGTGATAGAGGCACTCACTTTAAAAACAAGGAAGTAGAGTATGCATGCAAAAAACTAGGAATTGAACAAATATTCTCAAGTGCTTACCAGCCACAAACAAACGGTATGACTGAACTAATGAATACAATTATTTGTAGTAGCGTAACGCACTACGTAAATGAAAATCAAAAACAATGATCCTTATACTACAAAATGGTAGTTTTCGCATATAATACTTGTCCTAGCTCAAGACTAAAAGTCAGCCCATTGTATTTACTACATAAATAATATCCAACCATTGGGCAACAAATTAATGTCGGGAGAAAATGAAACATTTAATCTCTTAAAATCTCTATAACAATTACAGATAATTAGAGAAACTATGCCAGAAATAATAAAAAAGGAACATTCAATTCAGAAAAAGTTATACGATCAAAAACACAAAAACATTAACTTCAAACCAGGACAGAAGGTATTAATAAAATTCGATTTTCAGGAACCAAACAAACCAAAAAAGTTAGCTCATAAATATAGAGGTCCTTTTACGATTCTTAAAAAATTAACAGAGCGTGGGCTAAGAGTAAAAAGGTTTTATGTCAAAATATCTATTTTTTCAGGAGAGCATTTTTAAGGTTTGTTGTCAAATTTCTTTTTATCATATGGTGATAAATGTTTATAATTGGTATAAAAAAATCAAGCATGTTGTCTATATTAATATAACATGCAAATATAACATCTCACTATTTTAGTTAATTCTCTAAAAATATAAAACAACAAAAAAACAGCTTGGAGTAAAAAGGTTCTATACAAAAAACTATTTTACTCGCTAAATATTTTTTTCCTGTCCTGTCCATTGTGACCGTGCCGTTTCACATTTGTATAAATACTCTACATCTTTATTTTTTTGTTTTTGTTATTTTTGGATTATTTTTAGTTGACACAGCTAAGTTTATATTCTTGAAAGATTGTATGCAATTTGGAGTCGATTTAGAAGACAAGTTAATTTGCATAAAATCATCTACACCATGTAATGTTTTATACTTAACTATATTTATATTTGTATTGGAAAATTGAAGTTGAACTACAGAATTGAAAGGAATAAGATTAAACTTAAATTGTTTGGATGTAAAGTGGTAATTTTTAAAAGTATTCTCATTTAACTGTAAAATTTTAAAGGGTCTTTTTTCATTAACTCTTAATAATGCTCTAATGAACCCAAGCGGGGAAAAAATTTCTAAATTTTTTATTTCTTTTTCAATCTGTGAGTGTGCATTATCTACTTCTTGTATAGAAGAATGGCCTGGAATAGAATATTTCATAGTTATTGTTTTTATTTTTGGATTATTCATTAAAAACTTGATCATAGCAGTGGATATAATGGAATTTCTATTTTGGGGTACACAACTGTCAGACCAGGTTATGATATTATGTTCTATACTATCTATGTCTTCAACAATTTTAGTTAAGATAAAAATAGCATCACTAGCTAGATTAATACCCAAGCGTCCAACCAGAGCCTCGTTCCATATACCACAATACACTTGAGAAGATACATTAACATGAGCAGTCATATTATATACATTTAGTTTTCATTTATAAAAAGCGCAACCAACATTTGTCATGGGTAAATTAATTACGTTCTCTAAATCAAAACATAGTATTTGGATGAATATTTTTGTCCGTATTTCTCCCTAGCCTCATGGAGTCTTTTTTTAAAATGTGCTCTTCATAAAAATTAGTTTTTTGAGTATCATGAGAATTAGATTTTTTTAAATAATCATACTCAACACACACTTCACATGAGTCTTTTTTAGGAGAATAAAATGACAAATTAAAATTATTATTAAAAATACTTCTGTACATATGAGATTTCACTGGTGTCTCATTTTGAGATAAGCATAGAGTAACATATTGGTCATACATTTTAGAAATATTCAGGTTTGAGTCAAGATATTTTCTTTGAGAATCTGCTCTACAGTAATGCGATTATATAGTTGGATACGAAGAAATATGTTTAAAAACAAAGTCTTTGCGTTCACTAGAGATTCTATTATCAATTTTTTTTCCTCTTTTTTCATCAGGAGGAGTAAGAGACAGTGGGTTTTTATTTTCATGTACATTGTACACAACTTTTTGACTTATAGACAAGCTATTAAGAAAAAATACGTTGCAAACACGAATTTTGGGTAAATCATGTTTAGGAAAAGAATATCTATTCTTTTTAGATTTAAAACACTCAACTCTTTCTGAATAGTTAATTAAATAACTTAATTTATCCTTCCTACTTAATGAATATTAAAGACTATGTATATCTTTAATATGAGAGGTAGAAAAATTAAGGCTGCACTTAAAAGTGCAATTTACCTTACATATATTTTCAATGTTAAGTTCTTTGCTTTAATAATTTTACAATTTGTCGATACATGTTCATTACCACTATTGACCAACTGTTTTGTAATATTTTTCTTCCATGTTAAAGGATGTTTTTGACGCTTTATCGTTGTTTTACATAATTATAAAGATGACTTTTCGGTTTCGGATTCTTCAGTAGATGAGTCAGTATAAACTACAACCCTGAAAAAAATAAAATTATACTTTGTATTTAGTTTTTATGCTATAAATGATTAATTATAAATATATTAATTTAAAGCTGAAATTAAAAAATAATTAAATACCTTGCTTTTTTATGCAGTTCTTTATCATCATTTTCAGCATTAGTATCTATATCAACTAGATTTAAAATGTCTGAAACACTAGCTTGACATATATTTTGCTTGCCACCATTAAAATTTGAGGAGACATCCAGAATATTCACACTCTCAGCAAAATCTGTGGTCATATTTGATTCATCCTCAACTAGAGATACACGGATCCTTAAAATAAATAATAAAATAGTTTAATAGCTATTGTATTATATATGTATAAAAAAAAAAATACCTACCTCTTTTTCAAGCAGTTCTCTATGATCATTTTCAACATTGGCATCTACATCTATTAGATTTGGGGGACACGTCGTCTGCGGCGCTGGCGGTCGCGGGTTCGATCCTCTCGACCACTGGGCGGTATTTTTCTCCGGGCAAGTCACGGTGTCCGGAGAACAAGTGCCGCCATCCCCCACTCCGGGGCATGGCAGAAACCTACGGGTGCCCCATTCAAAATTCTGCCAAACCCAACACACACGTGTTCCTCCCCCTACCGACATAACAACACACAAATAAACCTCTACAGCTAATGGCCATAGTTGCCGAAGCTTAAGATCAATAAAATAAAAAAAAAAAAAAAAATCTATTAGATTTAAAATGTCTGAAACACTACTTTGAATTATTATATTTTGTTTGCCATTATTAAAATTTGAGGAGACATTTAGGATATTCACATTATCAGCAAAATCTTTACTTTTTTCTTTAGTTGTGTGGTTTGAATTAAAAAGTCTAACATAATATGAGATCATAAATATTTTAAATTACACTTAAATTTATTGTTATAACTCAAATTTAATAAATTGAATAAGTGTGTTAATATAGAATATTCTATATTAAAATATATTAAAATATTTTTTTTTCTTTAATAAAACTTTTTTTACCTCCGACAAATATTGTCTTTTTTACGTAGTGGTGTTTCATTACAATAATTATTGAGCCAATTGTGAACTTTAGCATCATTTGAATCACTCGTATTACTATAACTTTTTCTAAAATAAAAATAACTAGGTTAGGTCAACATAATAATATAGTAGGTACCTAACTCATGTTCTATAATAATATGCTATTATTATGAACTGTGGATATCAATGATTACCATCGATATAAATAAGTAATATATTAATATATTTAAACAACAATACATCTACAAAACATTTTCCAAATAGTTACCTAGGTAGGTAATAGGAACCCTCGTCCCTCCTTCATGGTATATTATTTAAATATTTGTTTGAATGAACTAGGTACCTATATGTAATTCTAACTGGCTCTAAATTGGATATTAATGGTATGAAATAACTTTTATTATTTATAATGATGTATTGATGTTTAAGAAAAAAAGTACTGTAAGTAGGTACATACAAAATCTAATAAAGTGCCCACAAGATTATTATATCTATATAGGTATATATAATATAAAATATAGGACCTAATAGGTACTTAGGTATTTGATTTTTTTTTCTCAGTATGAGGCTTATACTCTTTGTCAGCATCAGAGTCATAACAATACATTGTTTCATTATTTGATTTAGAATCAACAGACAATTGTTTTGACTAGCCATTCTAGACATGGAAGACATTTGTAGAGTTCTCTTCCTCAAATTCATTTTAAGAGTAATTTGTTTACTGTATTTTTTGATAAAAATGTTATACGACTTCCTCTTCCAGTTTTAAAATTGTTTTCTAATTTCTGTTTTTGACTTTTTTGATCAGCACTTTCCAGGTGATTTTGTAAAACAGAGTCGTATTTTGATAATAGTCTTACAAGTTCAATAAGATTTTCTCTATTAATGTTTATATCTGTTTCAATATCAAAATCTTTTTAGTGTTCCATGTTAAAATTTAACCCACTTTCATTCCGCTTTCCTCGAAAAGCAAGACTTTGTTTTGCTAAAAATAAAATTACGTCAATTATTCTTTAATTTATTCTTTGTCTATAATATAATACATTGATTTAATTAAAACAATTTTCGTTCGATAAACATCGTATATCGTACTTAACATAATAAAAAATGTATGCCTGCGATGTGGTTACACTGATTTCGTCGTGGTGATAGTATTCAGTTTTTGTTTACTTCCCGAGTGAGCTATCTGTTTTCATATGCAGCTAATAGCTATATTATTATACTTATCTATGGTCTGCGGTACCGGTATTACGAGTTTATAGTTTATTGTGTCTTGTATTTTGTTTTAAGTAATTAAGTTCATAAGTATTTAATAAAACCTAAACTAATAAGTTAATATGAGTAAATGCAACGCAACGAACACAACGCAAAGTTTATTATCAAGATGGCTTGACAAACGCCGGAAAAATGAAAATACTTATGATACTTCTCCGAATCCATGCAAATCAAATATCAATGTCCATAGTGAAAACTCGATCAAAAAACTGTCAAATTGTCCAGATCTACCTCAGTGCAGTCTGCAAACAATTAAAGATACTACTACAACTCCATTTAAATTAATTCTCAAGGTCAATAGTGAAAAACTATCAAATTGTCCAGATCTACCTCAGTGTCTGCAAACAATTAAAGAGCAGAATGGTCAACCACCTATTGTGAGTACATCAATAAATGTGTGTAATGAATTTACTACTGACGTTGGTTACTTTGTACTAAAAAAAGAAACTATGTCAAATTCATACAAAATTACTGATACTATGAGATATAAATTGTTAGAGATGACTAATATTCCTAGTGATAATTTCGTTTACCCTTTTTCGGTACACATAAAAAAAAATAAAGAAGAAAAGAGATTCCTAAAATGATTGCACTTTGAAAAACATAAATGGCTTACTTATTCTGAAAATAAGAATGGACTGTTTTGTAAATACTGTGTGTTATTTTCTGATAAAGGTGGGAAAGATAAAGCTACGCCGTTAAAAACAATTGTCAGTGAACCTTTAAAAAAATATGCCAAATTGTGGGGAAAAGATGGTGATTTGGAAGCACATAGCAAATTGCAATATCATAAAGAATGTGTATTAACTGCAGAAGACTTTAAATAAAGATATAAAAATCAAGATAAAGATATCAAAAATATTATAAATTCCAAAAGAAAAAACCGAAATAGATTGAAACCAATTATTGAAACAATATTATTTCTTGGGAGACAAAACATACCACTGAGAGGTCACCATGATTCTGGCGATTTTTTTCAAAAAGTTAATGATTCAGTATCGACAACAGAATCCACTGTTAATAAAGGTAATTTTAGAGAGACTTTAAAATTTAGAATTTTATGTGTTGATTCCATTCTAGAAAATCATCTTAAGTCGACTCATTCCAAAGCTACTTACATCAGACCAATCATACAAAACGACATCATCGAATGCTGTAAAATTTATATAACTGAACAAATTCTTAAAGAAGTTCAAGAAAGTAAATACTACAGCATAATTTTCGATGAAACAACAGATATAGGTCATGTCTCACAAATGAGTTTAGTTTTAAGATATGCATACAACGGTATAATCAAAGAAAATTTTATCTGTTTCATTTATTGTCATGAGATGTATAACGAAACAGAAGCTGAAGATGAGGATTTAGTGGAAAAAGATAATATTACATTTGAACCTAAGTTAACTGGTGAAATATTAGGTGAAATTATTCTGAATATGTTAATAAGTTTTTCACTTAATCTTACTAACTGTGTTGGTATAGGCACTGATGGATGCAGTGTCATGGTTTCTACAGTACGAGGAGCTGTTACAAAAATACAATCTCATGCTCCAAATGCCATTCATTGTCCATGTGCTAACCACGCATTGAATCTTGCAATATCAATGTCATCATCTATACAAACAATAAAAAACTGTGTTGGCCTAATGATGGAAGTAATATCATTTTTTAACTTGTCGTTTAAACGAAATTTTGTTTTGAAGACAATTTTAAATGGAAATCCACGTTTTATAAGCTTGTGTGAAACAAGATGGGTTGAGCGTCATGACAGTGTTATGCTTTTTAAGTCATCTTTACCCTATATTGTAAAAGCATTAACATTCATTTCCAATTGGCAAGAATACATAGAATACTTTCTTTATCAAGTTTTCTATGTGTGACAACAATGGTAAGTAACTAACCATCAGACTAAAAGAGCCAATCACGCTGTTGATTCAATTGAAGATTATTATAGAGTATCTGTGTACATACCACTAGTTGAAAATATTTGAAGTGATATGAAGGCACTTTTCTGCAATGAAAAAATCAATCATTTATATTTTGGTTATGGTTATTTTCAAAATAACTTGTACAATGGTAGGTGTTCAAAAATGTATTATATGTTTAGCGACTAAACCGACTAACCATGGAGATGGCGGTGAACGCAACGAAGAGACGGGCAAATTTTGATTTAAAAAATTAATTAAAAATCGAATAATAGTTCCATCAACTCGAATCCTACACCATTAGATTACACAAGTACCCAGCTGGCAGCTACCATCCCTGGTAGTTTCGTGTAAAAAAACCCAAAACCCTGTAGGAACTGAACTGATGGCTGGAGTCTGGCTGATCGCCCGGAGATCAGTATAAAATTATAATATTTATGAACATTAATATAAACCATTAGATGGTGTAACACTTATATTATAATTATGATTTTAGAGCTACCCATTAATCCTTCATCAACGGGTTGTGATGAAGAAGACAATTTATGTGGTTCTGTCGTCGAACAATGTGAGTTAATCATTATTATATTATATTATGATTTCTTATTTTATATTATATTTTTAAATTTGTAGTGCCAGTACCTAGCAGACACAAACGCAGAGAGGTGATATATTAAAACTAAAACAATTTGACCTTTTTTAAATATTATAATTTCCTTTTTTCTTAGCAGCCTGAATAGTAGCTGTGGAAGACACTGTGGAAACGATGGACTAGAGGGCTATAGGCGATACCTATTATAACACAAACAAAAATATTTTCTATTGTTTTGCAGAATTTATATTTAAAATAAAAACCGATATTTTACTGTTATTTCAATATATTATTATAATTTATATTTTCATTTTTATTCATTGTGAATTCATTTCTCCTGTAAAAAAAAAAAATATATATATAACAAATAATAAGGTAGTTAAGAGGACGTCGCACCCGCAAGATGACCGAAATAATTTTTTGAAGTAAATGTTGACGTTGAAAAACGAATTTAGATTTATCATAAAAGGAATTTTGAATTTGAATATTAAATTTTGTTATGTTGTCGATAATTTGTACGTTGAAGATACCGTGTTTTTTTAAATGAATATCAATAAACTCTAGAAAGATAATATCATGGCCTATTTTTTGAATTTCATTTAAAGCTTGTTTAATATATTGTATGACTTTCTAAAAATAATATAACAATTTATTAGTTATTTAGTTTGTATTCCAGTGGTAAGTAAAATACTTACTTCGTTGTGGTACACATTATTTTTAGGTCGTTTAATTATAATTGTATTGTTAATCTTAGCAACTGTTGATCCAACAGGTTCGAAAAGGGTTCCAACAGGTTCCAATCAACGGTAATATCATTTGGAATCAATTGGACTAAAAAATTTAAATATATATATTGTTTATATTATTTTTATATTATGTAAATAAAAGGAAAAAAAAATATATATCATAAAAAGCGAGGTCAAGTACTTCCTTCTAAATCATTTTTTAAATTTTTGCGGAAATAAATATATTGGGAGATTTTGGGTGGGGAAGTTTTGCGAGCGCGGGGTGGTGGTAGTCATCTTTAGAAAATCGTAGAAAATCAAGAATTGGACTTAGAGTTCTACAACTGGTACCAGTGCATTCCTGAGAACATCTACTATCGTGGAGTAATATTTTCGAAACGCATATCTCCGAAAACCGGCCAAAAGGCGAACGAAGAATATTATTAAAGCTCGGATGCAGCGCAACCTACATAACAAGTTATGTTCACCAAAATATTCAAATTATTTGAATATTTCATCGGTATTCATCTTTAGAAAATTGTAGAAAATTAAGTATTTTAACTTAACAACAAACATAACAAGAACCACGAGCGTCCCGGGAGCAAAATTGCTCGAAAAATCAGATTCACATTTGTTATCACTGTTTGTGAAAATCACGTTTGTTATCGTAGATAATAAATAATATATATAAAAAAATAGAAGCACATTTTTACAGATAAATAGATATAAGTAAATTAAAAATATAAACAATTGTTGCAAAACTGGTATGTTATATTTTCCAAATAAATTTACAAAAAGTTATTATGTCTCCAATCTCATTTTAGTACTCAACAAATCATACTGTTGTTTTGTTTTATGATTTTATAAATAATAAAAAATAAATAAATAATCATTATTGGTATAATAACTATTAAATATAATTAAAGGGAAAAAACCACAACATAATACACATTTTATGTTTTGTATTTTCATTGTAAATAAATATAACATATTAACACATAAATAATACAGTGACAGTGATTCATTTTTCATTTAATATTATACTTTACGTTTGTCAATTTGATTTTATATGTAAACTAGCTGATCCCGTGTACTTTGTTACCCGTTAAATGTACCAAATCTATATGACTTAAACTTTAAAATTTTCTTTGGTTTTAATTATATTAACATTTTTATAATAGCTTTAAAACCCATGGCAACCATTTATAAACAAAAATATCCACCGTAAATCTCAACATTCCTGTTTGAGTACCTCCTCGGAATTGGAACCGGGTCCGATTGTGAATCTAAACCATTCAAAGGCCCACTCAACTACTCAAGCACACCCAAAAAATTTCATCAAAATCGATCCAGCCGTTTAGGAGGAGTTCACTTACAAACACGCGTACAGTAGAATTATATATATAAAGATATAAATTATATATAAATAAATATTAGCCTTTAGGTTTAAAATATTAGTCACAATTATAACATGTAAATATAATGAATTGATTCAGTGATTCAATGACATTTTAATGAGCTGAATCACATGAATTAGTTCACTAAAATGAATTGAAAGTACCCATCATTAAGAGGCCGTTCTGGTAGAAGTGAAAAATATCCAACGCTCAAGAGATGGCGTTGTGCGCCGTATGCCGCCGTCGCGGTAGGCCGTAACCACGCCCATCGTCTACGCGACAAAGTACGCTCGTCGTAATAGCGGAAGCGGTCTGCCGCAGTGTTGCCAGTCGTACGATAATTTTTGGTCAAATACTATGTACGATAGCAACTTCAGTATCGTACGCAAAAATACGATAATTTTCAAATTCTTAAAATAAAAAAAATTCACAGACTATATTTTCATAATTTTATATGGTAACTGGTTAGGTTACACTTTAGTACTATAGATAAAATAACTATAACATAGACCATAAACACTATTGCTATTGGCCATTGGTAATTTATATAAATATTAAATACCTACATGGCTACATAGGTTACATAGTTGGTTAATGGTTTATATAATTAAATCGCGTGTCTTGTAAATGTGTGGAGTGTGGACTCGCGTGTGACATTTGTGTTTGACGTACTCGTACTGACGTTTGGGTTTGAGTAATAAATTGTGTTTAGAAGTAAGCATTTTATTTTAAACCATCGGCAATCAACATTATTGAACATGGATAGATTTCTTTTGGTAAGTATTAACTGTTTATTGTAGTTATTTTAATATAAATAAGATTCGACCAAATTATAAGTTAATGCTGATCAGTGTCTTCTCATATTTTGTTTAGAAATCAAATGCTAAATCGAACATCGAAAGTTCAGATGAAGAACAAACTTTAGAAATTCAGCAAGTATGAAAACTATTTTTAACAATTTTAGAATATTTATCACAATATTTTTCATTGAAACTTTTAATTTTTTTAGATTTTAAATAATTCAACTCAGATTTCTGACGAGGAAGAGGAATATGCTAGATGTACAACTCCGAAGTATAAAAGATCGATTCGTGGTGAACTGAAAAGAGCAGAAAAAGGAAAGCATCGAAAACAAAAATTCAAAAAAAGTTGGGTAACTAAACCAGAATTTAAAAATTGGTTAAGATCTGATAGTGATGAGTACAAAGCTTGTTGTTCAAAATGCAATGTTACTATGACATCTGAACTAACAGTTATAAAAAATCATAGCCAGGGAAAAAAACATAAATAAAATATTAGAGACACTAGTAATACTATAAAAGAATCATTTTTAACAAATGAATCTACATTATTAGATGATAATGTAAAATCGGCTGAAATTAAATTGTGCACATTTTTGGTAGAGCATAATATTGCTTTTAATGCCACGGAACATCTCGACGATCTACTTAAAAGTATTTTTCCCGATTCACAAATATGTCAGAACATTAAACTTAAGCGAACTAAAGCTACTGCTGTTGTTACTAATGTTATTTCACCTTTTACCAAAAATATTTTAATAGATACTTTAAAAAATACAAAATTCTCTGTGATGATAGATGAGTCTACTGATATTTCCTGTTCGTCTAAAATGTGCATAATTGTGAGGTTTTACTGTCCTAATCAGAATGAAATATTGTTAGTCGTGTTTGGGACTTAGTTCAATTACATGAAAAAACCAACCCGGAAAATAAAGGAGCAACTGCACAAAATTTATTTGATACATGTATTAAAACATTTACTCAACATGTCATACCACTAGGAAATATAATTGGATTTGGTTCAGATGGTTGCAATACCATGTTTGGAGCTCATAACTCCGTATCACAAAAAATTAAATTAAATTTTCCTGGTGTATATTTAATGAAATGTATATGTCATAGCTTACATCTTGCATGTAGTGAAGCCTGCAAAAAATTACCCACAAGATGTGAAGACTTGGTTCGTCAAATTTATAACTTTTTCAGTCATAGCTCAAAACGGCAAAGCCAATTATATCAATTTCAGACATTTCTTGACTTACAAGACCATAAAATATTGCATCCTTCAGCTACAAGATGGTTATCATTACTATCTGTAGTTAATAGAATCATAGAACAATGGGATGCTCTTAGATTATTCTTTAATGAAAAATGGTTGAGTGAAAAATTAGCATCGACTAGAATAATTTGTGAGCAACTTAACGACCCATTTATAAAAGCT